TCAGCAGGTCGTCCCTGAGCTGATTCTTGTGGGGGGTCTCCTCCTCGTCCATGTCCTCGTCGTCCTCCTGACTCGCGTGCTTCGCGATCTTCTTCGGCTTGCCGCCTGAGACGTAGGAGAAACTCTTGCCTCGTGGTCTCACCAGGGAAGACGCGGCGTCCGCCATCAAGTCTCACGTAGAACGACGGACTGAGGTACTCGGAAAGGTGCTGAAACAGGTGCTCGACAAAATCGGCTACGGTGTCGAACTCTTCGAGACAAACTTGGCATTTCGTGTTTTTGTATTCGTTCACCGTTTGTTCATATCGACCTCGACCATAAGGGCAGAATTGCCGAACGAGACTTCTTTTCGTGTGCTGTTTGGCGACGACTGGTTCTCGAAATACGCTTCCACATAAAATACATTCATTCGAGGGGGTGCATATCCGAGCGATGTGAAGACGACCATGTGTGCCACCCTGTGTAGACGCAATATGTGCAATGAGCTGTTTGTGCGAAGGCCATTTTGTCCGACACCTTGACCCATCCTCCAAGAACTCCCGACAGTAGAACAATTTTTCCTCTGTGTCTGGCTCCGTCTGCATTGCCGCGCTGGTGGCGGTACGACAAAGAAACACAGCACGTAGCTCGCTGATGTCCAAGCGCTGAAACTGCTCAGACGTGTCGGGATCGAAAAGCATCCTGTCGATGCGATTGTCTGCATCGAGAAGCAGGTCCTCGCCTGACCCTGTGCGCGCGAGGAAATCGATGTCCTGTTGCATCTGCTGAGCCCAAGGATGCCCAGACGCAGGGACTCGACCATCAACTAAGACCTCGCCATCTACTGCCATAGTGCCGAACATAGCTGCCCAAAACTGCCCATGGAACTCCTTGGCCTTCGAGAGCTCCTGGTACCACTTCAATCTCCTAATCCTGAGTTCGAGAAGCAGAGGCACCATTCCGAACCTTTTGAGGACTTCGTGACTGCTGAGGGTCTTGGCGTGCCCACTACTCCACTCACACGTACCCTCGAGAATGGCCCTACACTTGCCCACGATGAACCTTTCGAGCCCACTGAGGTCCCGTGGTAGAAGAGGTCCATTGGATTTAGCCCAGACTTCCATTCCCGTGAGAGCGCTGTTGACTAGGAGCCCCTTGACCATGTTGACCTTGAGCCTCCAGGGAGACTTCGAGTACCAAAAACTGCCCATAGTGTAGAAGCTGACGCGTAGTGCATTCTGGCGCTTTCCTAGCTCGGGCACTGGCGAGAAAGTCGACGAAAAATGCCCTCCCAGGTAGCGTACGTGATGCTTACATACTCCTTCGACCCCTGCAAGCAGGCCAGAGTGAAGGCGCCGAGAAAGTTTGTGAGCTCCTTGGCCCACGAGATACAATATGTTTTCCTGCTTGCTGATATTCTGAGTCGCTCCCACCTCCCCCATGCCTGCGCTGATTGCTGTGTTTTCTGCTTGTGATCCTGCTGCAAGTTGATCTTCTGCTGACCCTTCCCCCACCTCCAATACCTTGTTGACAATATCGTCTACGAAGCCAGTGAGAGCGACTTGCCTCATGTCCACGCCATCGTGGTCCCAGGGAAGTCTAGCCTCGACTGCAATGTGCCAGCCGTTCGTGACAAACTGGTCGGCTGTACTCTGCAAGACAGGCATCGAGAACGTGCGCACAAATAACAGCGTGGCTCCTGTGTCTCCAGGAAAAACTCCTGAGCCAGGTCGAAGCCAGAAGCGCCCAGACTTGTCCTCTAGCTTGAAAACACCCTTGGTGATGCGGTCCGAAATAAACTCTAAATCGTTATCATGATAGATCTCTTCAGCTCCAGCTAATACAGCTTTGTGCTCGAGAGAAAAGAACGCATTGGTCGCATCATGGCGCCGCAGGATGTGTGATACTCCTCCTTTCTGCATGCGATAACTACTGATGGCTTGGATGATCATGGCGGTTTCTCGTCGACGATGTTTGAGGCCTCCGTAAACCCAATCAGGGGGGCTCCAGGGGTAGGGCTTCCGTCGGAGGGCTCCAGCATTGTAGTTTCGTCCTAGCGTGCACATGACCATGATGATTCTTTCGCCGTCGCAGTCAAGCTTGGCATTCTTGGGCAGGCGAGCAGCTTGAGCAGCGTGCCATGCAACCGGCGTGCGCCTCCAGCGCCGACAGGCCCACAGCAACTTCTTTAGTAAGTTCTCCCCCTTATTGTTGACTTCCACTGGCTCCAATCCCAAACCTGCTCTTCCCTTGGGGCGTCGTTCATTTATCCATGCAGGGTGGAACAATAACCTAAGCAGCTCGGGGGGGCACGACCATTCGGGCCAGGTTCTCCAAAAACGAAGCTTCCACGCGCATCGAGACATCGAGTCGAAGTCAACCATGGCGAGTCCGACGGCTTCGAGTTCGTCCCTGGGTTGTCGATTCTCCTGGTCGATTTCGAATTGTATTTCGGTTAGCGAAGATGCCGTAGCCGTGCATCCGCCCTGAGCTGCTGGAAGATGCATGCGCGTAGCCCAGGCTGCAGCACACGCCTGAGACTGAGGGAGAGCTCGAAAATGTCTCTTGCGAGCCCCTCGGCCTTTGCCTGCTATCATGCGGCTCAGCTTGTGTACTAGGTAGTAGTTGCGCTGGGATAGTGCTATTCGTAATTCATCTGTGCGTCGTTGACGTACTCGATCGTGATGTTTTCGAGCTGTGTCCCGCAGCAGGCGACTGAGATGCTTGATGGCCTTGGTTTGGGCCTCGAATGCTACTTGATCTACTACTTTGCCTAGTAGCTCTCTGCGACGTCGTCGCTGCTCTAGAAGGGTACCTAGTAATTGCGCGCTGCTGACGCGCTCCTCGGACTGCAGTGGCGACTGAGTAAAAAACCTCAATGGCCGCCTGATTCATGACGTGCATAAAGACCCTATTCATATCGCCGATTTTTCCCTCCGCCTTCATGTTCTCAAACTCCTCCACCTCCTCCACCTTGGCATTCAAACACTTAATATACTCCTCTCGAAGATGCCCCGTCTGCACACACTCATACATGGCTTCTCGGTTCGGTCGTGGGGGTCGCGGTGGAAGAGGGGCGGCTGTACACTGAAGAATAGCTGTAAGGACAACTGGACGATGATCTCTGGGTGTATTAGTCTGGTGCACTTGTAGTCTTCTGGCTGTGCCTGCGTGCACCATGCAACTCTCGACGGCGGGCATGACGGACCTGGGGAGTACGATGTGATCGATGTGGCTCTCCCCTCTTTCTCCGATGAACGTGGCCAGGTTGCGGAAGTACGTGTTGGCTGCTGTGAGCCCCCACGCTTCGAGTACTGGTCGAATGGCTCTCGACGAGGGGGAGGTGCCGATACCATGCTCGCCAGCAACTTGATCCGTTTCAGAGTGAGCAAGACCACCGTTGAGATCCGTATAAATTAATGGAATGGCGTGTTGAGGATCCAGATATTCAAGCGTCTCTTGTAACCATTTGATAATTGCTTGGACAGCTTTTTCATATCCGTCCTTTTGCCCTGCCTTGGAAACTTTGGGTGGGAAATATATGCCAATGGTGCCGTACGTTTGGTACTGTTGACGAATGAAAATGCAACCAACTCGACCCCATAACTGCTTGGGCACGGGTAAGATGCGCTTGACCGAGTGTTTGTAAAAACGACTTTTCTTGACAATAATGGTAACTCCGCACGAAGGGGACACAAGAGCTCCTCTCTTGTAGCCAAACCTGTAACCTCTGAAATTGTCAATCATCACTTCATCCTCGATCATGTCGCCACTGCTCTTCTGCTGCGTGCCACAAAGAACTAATATGTCGTGTGACGGGTACTCGGCGACGATGTCTGCGAGCCTGGAGATGCGATTCGCTGCACACGGGTTGAAGCCAACCATCCTGAGAAGCCCAGGTGACGCCTCTGACCGCGGGCGCGCCGCCGCCATGGCTGCACGGGGGCGCAGGGCCCTTGCGAGAATGAGACTCCTCTGGTCATGCGAGGTGGCGTGTGAGGTGTTCTCGCAAAAAGATGGGCCACCTATGATGATGATGAGGAGGGGGAGGAGGAGGAGGAGGCCGAGGAGGAGGAGGAGGATGCACGAAACTCACAATACTGAGACCATCATGGGCTATTAGTGGGCTCTCTTGAGATCGTTTTGGTCTCGTCGTGGGTGCTTCTTCGAGGCATGGTGCCGCCGGCTGTGAAACCTCGCGGGTCTTGTTGGTCCGTCTTCTCAAGACGGCTCAGGAGGGCCCCAGGATGGCCGAAGAGCCACCTAGACTGCCCCAGAGGCTTCTCAGAGGCCTCCAAGACGGCCCAAGGGGCCGCCCAGCGACCCCCAAGATGTCTCCAAGAGCCTCTCAAGAGGCCCCCCAGGAAGGCCCCAAGACCCCCCAGTGACGGACGCGGCTTTGATGACAAGGCTCCAACCTCAGACGGCCCAGTGACGGACACAGCTTTGGCGACAGGGCTCCCAAGAGCTCCAGGTGATGGAAAAGCCCTTCTTTGGCGAATCGGTGACGTAAACATCTTTTTGGTGGTATGAGCAGCTCTTCTCGCCGAGGCTCACAAGAGCGACCGGTCAAGCTCTAGACACCAGGGCTCCCAAGAGCGAACGGCGACGTGAAAAACGCATTTAACGCCAAGGCTCCCAAGAGCGCACGGCGCCATGAGCCCTCTTGAACAAGTTCCTGGGAGCGCTCTTTCCGTTTCGGCGCTCGGCCCAGGTCACGGCAAGTTCGAGGTACGGATTAGGACTTTTTGGTGAGACAGTTAGCCTGAAGTGCCCAGAACCTGTCTAACCCGCCTCTTCCATTGGAAGTGAAACAGCCTAGATGGGATGACGGGTGGGCGGGTGGATCTGCAGCCTAATTTTCATTGAGTTGTCATGTAAGCAATTTCCTTTGAGTGCGTGGAATCCGATGTACCTCGGGATTCCCATGTAGAGCGACTCCCTGGAGGACCTGCGAATCATGTGGATTAGGTGTGAACAGGGGGATCATGTGAATACATAGGTCCCGAGAGCACCCAGACCTTGGTTTACATCGAAGCAACAAGTTTTGAGGGCGCGCCAAGACGAACTAAACGGTTCCCAAGATGCTCACACGCCGCCTCCGTTCAGGTTGACATTAAGATTGAGGTCGGAGCTAACTGTTGATTTTAACAGTAAGGTTCATTTTGAGGTTACGGGTAAGGTTAATGCTTTCGTACCGGGAGGTGCTTACGAGAGCTAATGATAATGTTCACATGCATTTTGAATTTATGGTCCAGTGACAGGTTCAGGCTAAGGTTCAGGATCACTTTAAGTAGGGTTAAGGTTGAGGTTTGAGGTTAAGGTCAGGTTCGGTAAGGTAGAGTAAGTCACGATACGGTACGGTTGGGGAAGGCAAGGTACGGCCGTGTATGGTGGTAAGGAAAGATACGGTTCCAAGGTCCTCCAAGACGGCCCACGAGGCCTCCAAGAGGCCCCCGAGTGCCTCCAAGAGCCTTTCAAGAGGGCCTTCAACATGGCCAAGTGATGGACATACCCCTCACACCCAGGCGTCCCAGCGACGGACACGGTCTTGGCGCCACGGCTCCCAAGAGCTCCATACTACGTGAGTTTTTTTTTTTTTTTTGTTCTTCTTCTTCTTCTTCTTCCTTTTGTTATTTTCAACAAGTTTGAGCGCAAAGGCTCCCAAGGGCGAGGGCTGACGTGCAGAGCTCTGAACGCCAAGGCTCCCGCGAGCGATCGCCGACAAGCAAAAGTACTTAACGCAAAAGGCTCCCACGAGCAAGCGGCGACGTGAACAACATTAACGCCAAGGCTCCCAAGTCCGAGTGGTGCCAGATGAGGCGTTTCAGAAGATGGCTTTGCCCTCGAGGATCGGAGGAGTTGTCATCTCCTCCGCCGCGGAAGGCGGCGGAAGGTCGGCGGAAGCCTCCGCCGGCGGAAGCTGGCGGAAGGCCAGCGGAAGGCGGTGGATGTAAAGAAACGCTTCCAAGGGATGAACACGTTTTCGGGTTCAGGATTTCCGAAATCCGCCACGTGAGCCCTCTCAGGCAAGTTCCTGAAGCGCTCTCTTCGTTCCCGAGCTGGCCCAGGCCTGACTCGCCCGTGGCCCGTGGGGCCGGCGAACTGCTCAAGCGTGCGCCGGGGGTCGAGCTTGCAGGAAGTGCTCGACAGTGCTCTTGGCGACATCTTCTTCGTCGACACGCAGGGCAGGCTTTTCCTAAAGCTCGTCAACGAGAAGGCGAGCTTCTTCGAGGCTGCAGGCGTGAAGCAGCTCCAGATGACGCAGCGCTGGGGCTGGGGCATCGGATTCCGGTACAAAGTCAGGAGCAGCAGCTCTGGCTTCGTGCCGTTGGCAGTCCCGCCCGCCCTGCCTGGAATCCCTTCGGCGCCGACGTCCCCGCTGGCGCCTGCGCCGACGCCTAGCGCTCCCAGCCCATCGACGCCTGCGCCGACGTCCCCGCTGGCACCTGCGCCGACGCCCAGCCAGTCCACGCTGGCGCCTGCGGCCTCTTCTTGCTGCGCTGACTTCGTGGATTGGCCTAGCATCGACAACGGGGTTACCTGCAATGACTGCACGGCGCTCGTGCTCACGGCCCCCTACGGCGGTCGGTGCGACGCGTACTGCGAGAGCTTCGGCCACGTGTGCGTGGAGGCAGCAGAGGAGGTCTCGGAGACCTGCCAGGTGGACTACAAGGCGGCGTCTTGCAGTGTCCCCATCTCCGGCACCTCGGACATGCTCTGCTCGTGCCGGCTGCTGTCGTGTGCCGTCGGGAGCCCTGGCACGGAGCCCACGTCGGGGCCGGCACTTGTGCCCACGCTTGCACCGACAGCTGCTCCAACCGCGGCGCCTGCTCCATTGCCCACGAGGGATCCGACGCCTGCACCGACGCTTGCACCAACAGCTGCTCCAACCTCGGCGCCTGTGCCGGTGACCACGCCTTCCCCGACGCCATCTTGCGCGAAGGTAAAATACGCCCAGTGTGGAGGCTCCAGTTTCACGGGCGATGCATGCTGTCCACCTGCCATGTGGTGCATGGAGACTTCCCAGTGGTGGGCTCAATGCGAGCCATGCGCAGAGACGTGGGATGCGAGCTGTGCAGGTGAAGGAGGCATTGACGACCCAGCCCCCGTCATGCCGACTTTTGCACCGACGCTTGCACCGACAGCTGCTCCCACCGCGGCGCCTGCTCCACTGCCCACGAGGGATCCGACGCCTGCGCCAACACTTGCACCAACAGCTGTTCCAACCTCGGCGCCTGCGCCGGTGACCACGCCTTCCCCGACACCATCTTGCGCGAAGGTGAAGTACGCCCAGTGTGGAGGCCCCGGTTTCACGGGCGATGCATGCTGTCCACTTGCCATGTGGTGCATGGAGACTTCCCAGTGGTGGGCTCAATGCGAGCCATGCGCAGAGACGTGGGATGCGAGCTGTGCAGGTGAAGGAGGCATTGACGACCCAGCCCCCGTCATGCCGACTTTTGCACCGACGCTTGCACCGACAGCTGCTCCCACCGCGGCGCCTGCTCCACTGCCCACGAGGGATCCGACGCCTGCGCCAACACTTGCACCAACAGCTGTTCCAACCTCGGCGCCTGCGCCGGTGACCACGCCTTCCCCGACACCATCTTGCGCGAAGGTGAAGTACGCCCAGTGTGGAGGCCCCGGTTTCACGGGCGATGCATGCTGTCCACTTGCCATGTGGTGCATGGAGACTTCCCAGTGGTGGGCTCAATGCGAGCCATGCGCAGAGACGTGGGATGCGAGCTGCAGCAGGCGCCCATTGTCGCAGCTCGATTGCCAGTCCGACCCTGCAGGCTCGTGCAAGATAGTAAAAGTACGCAGGTCCCCAGCCTTCGGCAGATCCTGACAGGCGCACGACGTGCCAGCGCGTATTCGTGCAAGTTCATAGTAAAAGTGCAGGTCCCCAGCCTTCGGCAGATCCTGACAGGCACGACGTGCCAGCGCGTATTTTCTTGGCTCAAAAGAAGCACGGTATCTAGGCAAATCAGATTGAGCCTGGGTGTCCTGAGAGATTCGCCTCCTGTTGTGCACTTCCTTTCGCAGCGATGCTAGCATATGCGCGCAATCGCAGCAAGGTTGATGCACTCTCGGGCGATCACCGCCGCTGCCTAGCATCTGCTAGTGCGTTGCGCGGCGTTTTCGCGATTCCGTATGCAGCGATTCATTGCCCAGGACAGCCACAATGTCCGTGGCATGGGCCTTGGCTTGCATGGAGTATGTCCGCCTTGCGCCATCGCGTTGGAATTTGAGTTCCTCTGCAGTACAGTTGCGAAGCAGATGATGGTGTTGTCCAGCGGTCCCTGCGTGCAGAGGAATTGCTCGTACGAGTGCAGCATATGCTACAGGAGTGGCCTCTGTTTGCAAGGTAGCTGCTGGTCTTATCTGGGGTGAACCCACATGAGCATGAGCATGAGAAACGCATCGCGCCATCACAACTTTTTCAAGAGGCTCATGCTACTCCGCCGACACCAAGAGGAGGATATGTGCGGCTTCCGAGCTCGTATGTGATCGCTTGGGTGTAGCTGTTCTTCATGCGTCTCCCTCTTTCTCCGCTTCCGTTGCGGGGCTTCTTTGGGGCCTCTTGGGGGCCTCTTGGAGGCCTTGGGGGAGATCTATTGGGAGCCTCTCGGCAGGTCCTTGGGGGCATCCTGCGGGGTGGAGAGGGCTTCTGGGCCTTTGCCTCTTGCGGGCCTGCGGAGGAAGGATCCATTGCAGTCCTCCGACAAGGGGGCAGCCAAAACGCGTGGGAGCCCCCATCGAAGGAGACTCTCTTGCCACCCTGGCGGATGTCCCATCCCACCGGCAGGGGCCTGCGACAGGAGGCGGCCCGACCCGCACCCATCATGGATGCCACGCGTGAAGATCTGGGGGCCCCTCCCCCCGTCCTCCTCGTCCTTCCCCCGCCCCCTCCCGTTGCTCTCCCCCGTTACCTTCCCTTCTGCTCCTCCCGCGGCAGCCTCCTTCCTCCGGCTACTTCACCTTACTTCTCCCTCTCTCTCTCTCTCCGCATCCGTCCCTTCCCCCCTCCCCCTCACCACTCTGTTTCCGTTTTCCTCTCCACGGCCCCCTCCTTTTCCGTTTCTCTTCGCTCTCGTTCTCCATGTCTTCCTTCCTCCTTCCTCCCTCCTTCCTCCCTCCTTCCTCCCTCCTTCCTCCCTCCTCCCTCCTCCCTCCTCCCTCCTCCTCCCTCCTCCTCCCCCCCCTCCTCCTCCTCCTCCTCCTCCTCCTCCTCCTCCTCCTTCTCCTTCCCCTGGGACCCGACGTTGCGAAACCACAGCGAAGCCTCGTGAAAACCACAGCCAGAGAGCCTCAGACCCCACCCTCCTGCTGCCTCTTTCTCGAGCCGGATCGATCCGTGACCGTCCGAGGGGCCTACAAAGCTTGGGCGAACACGCCCGGCGCCCCCTGGGACCTCCGGTTGAGGTCCCTCTGAGGCGGAGGAGGGAGGAGGGGGAGGAGGAGGAGGGGGAGGAGGAGGGGGAGGACGAGGACGAGGAGGACGAGGAGGACGAGGAGGAGGAGGAGGAGGAGGAGGAGGAGGAGGTGGAGGAGGAGGAGGAGGTGAGGAGGAGGAGATGGAGGAGGAGGAGGAGGATGATGATGATGATGATGATGATGATGATGATGTAGATGATGATGAGGATGCATGAGGTGATGATGATGTGGCTGATGCTGATGTGATGCTGTGCTGCTGCTGCTGCTGATGATGATGATGAGGTGGAGGAGGAGGAGGGGAGAGGGGAGGAGGAGGAGGAGTAGGAGATGGAGGATGAGGAGGTGGAGGAGGAGGAGGAGGAGGAGGAGGCGGAGGAGGAGGACGAGGAGGATGCGAGGAGAGGAGAGGTGAGGAGGAGGAGCGCGGGGCGCTGTGTCCTCAGAAGGCAGACACAACACCACCGGACGGTTGGGCCAGAAAGCCTGGGCGAGCACGCCCGGCGTGAAGGCGCTGCGACGCCCGGCTCCCGGGCTCCTCCTCCTCGTGGTGCTCCCGCTCCGTCCGCCGCAGCTCGGGCTCTCGGAGCCTCGGACCCCCCAAAGAAAATTGCCCACTCGTGCCGCGGTGAAGTTGGGCGTATCCCTCTACTGGAGGGGCATCCAAAAATAGAAAAAATCGGCAGGGGACGATTTTGAGTAATTATATGCTTTGACTATTTCGGGTATTTGCTTGCTGTGTCTGATTTCTCCACCAAAAAATCCGCCTGTAGGAGGACATGCCCGACCGAAGTCTCGGGCCGGCCCCGCCATGGCCACGCGCCTCCTCGCCGCGCTGCTCGCCCTCGCGGCGTCCGCGGCCGCCGAGCGCGCGTGGGCGCGGCGCTCGGGGTCGCAGTACGTGGGGCTGGACGACGGCGCTCGAGGAAGCAACAAGTGCACTCGACATACACCTGCAGTAACGATCCCAGGATTAACAACACGCAGAACTACACACTGTGATACAAGGATCGGCAGCACGAACACACACAGGACATGCAAGAGTACCAATCACAGGGATAGGAATGTCCATATGCATAATGGTAAGAATACTATTTACGAAGCATATTACTTCTAAGGAAAATAATGGTAGTAAGAAGAGTAGCAACGATACAAATCAAAAGCATATGCATTATGATAAGAATGATAACATTCAGAACAACAGTATGATTCAGACAACAAGACGGCATTCGAGAACTCGTAGCCATAAGAACAGACAGAAAGTTCCGGAGCTCCGCGCGGATGTCTGGGATCGGCGCCTGGCCGCCCCCATGGCGGCGCCTCCCGTGCCGACCCAAGAGATCCACGTGGAGCTCCGGAAGCTTTCGGTTTCTGCAGATCTGTGCTCCTCTAGGCACCGCCTCTGTCGCGTTCGTCTCCGAGGCCGACTTAGCGAACGCAACGGCCACCATGACGGAGCGGCTGAGGCGGATGAAGGAGGCCATGGACGTGAAGCTCGCCTCGAGCTTCGAGGTCGTGGACGGGAGGCTTGCGCAGGACCGACAGGCCGCCCAGGACGAGCTGAAGGAGTTCATCGCGGACGCGCAAAGGATTGATGCTCTCTAATGTTCAACGCTTCGACAATCGTATCGACAATGCAAACCAGGCGAGCCAGCACAAACCAATAACACAAACACAGCAACTACATTGATGGACCGACAGGAAGCAATCCGAAATAAAAAGTAATCAGGCGAATCAGACTACCAGTGATACGCATACTGCGAATCGTGAGTTCTCGTACTGAAATAGCCAGCGCACCTACACTGGCAGTGCACGATCCACGTTGTGCATCCGCCTTTCTGCCTCGCAGAGTTCGTGGCTCGACGCTATCGCTTAACCCATGGCCCTACAGCAGGTGCGGGTGCGTGCGAATGCGCGCGCTCACGAGTAGGAACAAGGAGAGCGGGATGGCGTCCTGGGATCTCGTCACGCGCAGGCCGTTGTTTTTCCGAAGGGGGCGTGGCCTTTGGAGCGCGGGCACGTACAGTAGCCACACCGGGTTACGATGATTCTGCGATGGAAAGCGTGACGTTCCCACACCAACAAACCATGGACGTCCTGGGGTCTCAGGATTGGGTTTCTTGTGGAAGGTTTCTTGTGGACTGGCCTCCACTGTAAGAAGCAGGTGCCTTTCTTTTCCGACGCTGCTGTTGCTTCTGAGAAGCAGTTCCGTGCCTCTAAGAGAAGCTGCTGGGTGCTTCATAAGAAGCGGCGCGCCCCTGGCTCCTTAACTAGAAGAGCGGCCAGCGCCGTCTGAGAGGCAGTCGCCTTCGTAGAAGCCTTCTCCCCCTCCCCTACCTTTGTGAATGTTTTTCTATTCATTGTTTTGCCGATCGGCGCGGGCCCTCGCCCCCCACCCTTTCCCCCCCCCAATGAGTAGATCTTGGCTGTTTTTTGGCGCCTGTTTCAAGCAGTTGGAGCCCCCCGCGTAGGACGCACTGCTGCAAACAGTCGCACTAAGCAGAGGTCGGAGTCAGACGCCCCTCCCTCCCCCTCTTCCGCCCAATGTCGAAACGCCGAATAAAAAAGCGCTCCCCTAAAGTCGGGCATGTCCCTTTGCAGGTATGACCAAAAGTAGTCAAACAATAGTCTGGGGACACGCCCGACCTCCCCCTGCTGTGGGTTTCTTAGTACGCGTGGGGGGTACCCCCCCGACAGGGGTCAACCTCGCCTCGTCGTCACGCCGCGGGGGGGGTCGGATCGCCTTCGGCGCGCGGTGGCTGCCCGCGACGGGGGTCGACGCGGGGCTGTCGGCGGGGGTGACGCCCTCCCGACGCTTATCCAGAAACTCGGAGTACGCTCACGTCGGGCATGTCCCTGTACAGGAGGAGATATTTTCAAACATAGTCAAAAATAGTCTGTGGATTATGCTTCGACTATTTTTGACCATCTTTGACGATTTCGTCTACTTTGTTCCGTTCTCCTTCCAAAAGTCCGACCCAATCCTGGCAGGAAGCGCTGGATCGTGATCGGCTCCGACCCAATCCTGGCAGTCCGACGGCTCCGATCGTGATCGGCTCCCCGCTCCTGGAGCCCCACCCCTCTCGGGGCCCCGCCTGCGAGCCGCCGAACTCGGGGGGGCAGCCTGGGCTCCAGGGGATTCGGCCTGGATTCCGGGGGCCGCGCTCCGGGCTCGAGGCCCAAGTAGGGGAGGCGGGAGGGGGGAAGGGCTCCTCGGCTCGTGCGCGCCGCCGGCGGAGGAAGCTCGAGTCCATGCAGCTCCAGGAGCAGCGCCTGCGCCTGGCGGTGCGCCACGGGGCGCACGGCAGGTGCTGCTGCGCCGCGCTGTCGCGGGCGCGCTGCGAGTGGGTCGACTTCGGCCTGCTGAGCGGCCACGCCCACTCCTGCCCGGCCGAGAGCGGGCAGGACCGGGGCTCGCTTCGATTCCGCTCGACTCGACTCGATGCGAGGTCGAGGGATCCCGATCCCGATGCGATTCGACGTCGGATGCCGACCTGGGAGCCGATGGCTCAAGTGGAGGCCTGCTGGCCTGCCCATGCCTACCGATTCGACCCTTCCCGACTCGGCTGCCGAGTTCCGCCGAGCCGCTTCGTGTCGGTCGCCGGTCCGACTCGTCGAGTCGAGCCTGGGCCCTCCCGGCAGGGCCAGGGCGGGGCCGGGGCCAGGATGGGCCCGGACATGCCCGCGTCGCGAGCACACAGCAGGACGGGAGGCCTCCTCCTCCTCCTCCCTCCCCCTCCTCCTCCTCCTCCCTCCTCCTCCTCCTCCTCCTCCTCCTCCTCCTCCTCCTCCTCCTCCTCCTCCTCCTCCTCCTCCCCCTCCTCCTCCTCTCCCGGGCTCCTGGGCCCTCGCTGGGCCCCGGGGACCGGCAAAGGACGGCTCGGGACGACAGGCCGGTCCCAGGGAACGTGTCGGGACTTCCACGGGCCGCGTGTGGAAGAAGTCCCGACATCGCAGATGACGTTTCTCTCACAGGTTCTAGAGTGCTTGAGCTGGCCACGGCCTGGGCGACCCAGGAACTCCCCCCTGGTCTCTGGCCCAGTTTGTCCCAGGATGTTTTCAAGTAGAACCGTCAGCTGTCTCTATCTATGCTTAGCCATTTTGGCTTTCGGCGCACCTTCGTGCGGTGACATCGTTACACACATATACATATATATATATATACACATACATATCTCTTCGCCCAGACTCTCAAGACAGGAGTTTGGGAATTTGTGTACAGCCTGGATCTCGCCGTGGGGCCAGTGTCGTGCTTGTGATAGTATGTCTGGCCCCGCCGCTCGTCCTGACTGTGCTCGGGTGGCCGAGAGCGATGCTTGAATTTCTGAGCTCGGCGCGAGTAAGAAACAGAGAGTCCCTGAGAATAGGGTCGACTGCCACCTCTCGCGTCGGGTTTTGGCTCAAGCCTGCCCGCCCTTTCATTTCCCCACCCTGCTGTGAGCCCCAGGGTACAGCCTGGATCTCGCCGTGGGGCCAGTGTTGTGCTTGTGATAGTATGTATGGCCCCGCCGCTCGTCCTGACCGTGCTCGGGTGGCTCAGAAACATGCTTGAAATTTTGAGCTCGGCGCGAATAAGAAACAGAGAGAGTCACTGATTTTCCCCGGGCCCATCCAGTTCAGATCCCCTGGCCGACTCCAGTTTGGAGCATTCTTGCAGCGTTGTGGAGCGCTCTGGAGGGGCCCCTGGCGCCCGATGAACCCTCCAGAGTCGCCAGATCTCAGAGGTTCCTGAATTATCTCGGTCCGATTTTGTCACAGTCCTGGCTTCGTCTTGCAGGACTATGTCGACCACCACACGGTCCTCTCCAAGAGCCAGGGCGAGGCCGTGACGGTGGACACCCTCATCGACTCCTGCCTGGGGTCGCAGGGTTGGCACGTCCACATCGACCACCGCGGCGACGCCCAGGAGTCGAAAGACGAATCGGCATGAACACTCTTTTGCTTCCAGCGACCCCAGCTCAAAAACGCGAGGCGGGATACTCAGGGAGCACCGGCACACTTTAGGCCTGGTGGCTGGGCAGTCGTCATTCGTCTAAGGCACATGGCGGGATACTTAGGAAGCACCGGCACACCTTGGACTTTTAGGCCGCTGTATGCAGGGTGTGCTAGGCGGGCCGGGAGCTCTTTGGAGAAAATCTAGCAACCCCAACCTTTCGGGTGGGGAATGAACTTTCGGAGGTCCGCGCGGATTTCTTGGTCGGCGCTGGACATCCTCGTCAGCGCCTCCAGTCCCTTGGCGCGCTCCGCGCGCCAAGAGAGGTGGTTCCAGAGCTCGCCAGAGAGAGGGATTCAAAGAGGGATGTCCACGCGGACCTCTGAAGGCGTACGTGCACAGTGGAAACCCCTGCCAAGATACATCCTGCCTGCCTCCAGGGTGCCCTGGGTTGCTTGGATTCGATGGTTCTACGATGGAGAGCGTGACGTTCCCACACCAAACATCAATGGACGTCCTGGGGTCTCAGGGCTGGGTTTCTTGTGGAAGGTTTCTTGTGATCGAGCTCATACGATGTAGTCTTCTTTTCTTCCGAGGAGGACATGCTGTCCCCTGAGACGCGCCGCCTCGTTGAGCAGCTCCATGAGCCGTGAGTGGCGGCCGACACCTGACGCGGTATGGGCTCCTGTGCGCGCCGCGACGCGGGCTGCGACGTGCGATGCGTAATACATCTGTAAACGTGTACGCGTGCACACATGTACGTATGTGCATGCATGTGTACAAGTATGTATTCATGGATGCATACATGCATGCATGTATGCATTCATGTACACATGTATGTATACATGTTTATGTACATATGTAGGCATGTATGCATGTATACATGTATGTACGTAGGTGCATGTACATATGCATATGTATGTGCTGTGCATGGGTATGGTTATTGAATGTGTGTACGTGTATATATATATATATGTTTGTTTAAATGTATGCATACGTTATGTGTACGTGCATGTATGTTTGCATGTGCATGTGCATGTGCATGCGCATGCGCATGTGCATGTATGCATGTATGCATGCATGTATGTATATGTGTATGTATGCATTTATGTGTATATGTATGTATGTAGGTATGTATGTATGTATGAATGTATATACGTATGTATGTGTGTACGTATGTATTTATGCATGTTTGTATGCATGTAGCGATGCATGCATGTTTATGTGTATTTACATTCATATATGTATGCATGCATGCATGTATGCGTGTGTATATGTATGTATGTATATGTGGATGCGTACATGCATGCATACATCCATGTGTGTATGTATGCATGCATGCACGTATGTGGGTATGGCTGAATGTGTGCATGTAGATGTTTAGAAACGTATGCACACATTCATGCATGTATGTCTGCATGTACGGATGCATGTATGTAGGCTTGTATGCGTGCGTATATAGTCATGTACGTATGTATGTATGTAGGCATGTAGGCATGTACGCAGCTATACATGTATGCACATATGCATGCATGTATGCATGCATGTATGTACGTACGACTGTGGGTATGCAGGTGTGTCTGTCTGTTTGTATGTTTGCATGTACGCATGTCTGCTTGTAGGTATGTCTTTATGTATCCACGTACGTATGTATGCATCGATGCAAGTCTGCATACATGGATGTACGTGTGCGTGCTTGCCTGTCTGTCTGCCTGTCTGTCTGTCTGTCTGTCTGTCTCTATGTATGTTTGTTAGTTTGTATGTATGTGTGTACACACATATCTTAATATGTATGTCTGCTCGCACATGCCCACGGTGTTGCATTTCTATTGACCTGGGGGTCGGGCACTCTGGCCTTCCAGAGCGCAACAGGAGTGCAGCAGAAGAGCCCTCCAGACCCACAGACCACAGGAAGCTCGCTGCAGAAGGTCCTGGTGCTGTGTTTCTTGCCCTCGTGGACGGTCAGGGGAGGAGACCCCCCCAGAATCGGACCCCCCTGGATCCCTGGTCCTTGAGGCCCCCCCTTGGCGTCGGGGCCGCGAGGGGCGCTCCTGCCGGGCTTCGCCAGGAGGGCCTACTACGGCCGCCGGGAGGGCGGCCCCACGGTCTCGCGAGGGCCCCGCGCGGCCCCAGGCACCCCCAGGCATGCCCGAACGCGGTCCCGAAAGGACCCGCGCGCGCAAGAACATGGACTCTCAAGGATCAGCCACGCGCAGGGGGGGAGTGATATGGAGGAGGCCTTCTGAGACGCACCCCTGCTCCTTCGAGGGCGCGGGCCCGATCTGTAGATGTAGGCCCGGCGCCTTCTAAGAAGCAGCCTCCTTCTAAGGAGCCGCTTCCCCTCCCCCTACCCCCTGGTGCGCGCCCCCAGAAGGTGCGGGCATTACAGTGAGGGGTTTCGATGGCTTTGCCATGGAAAGCGTGACGCTCCCGCACCAAAAATCAGTGGACGTCCTGGGGTCTCAGGGTTGGGTTTCTCCTGGAAGGTTTCTTGTGATCGAGCTCATACTATGTAGGCTTCTTGTAGTCTTCTTTTCTTCTGAGGAGGACATGCTGTCCCCTGGGACGCGCCGCTTCGTTGAGCAGCTCCATGAGCCGTGAGTGGCGGCCGACACCTGACGCAGTATGGGCTCCTGTGCGCGCCGCGACGCGGGCTGCGATGTGCGATGCGTATTCCACATGTTTATACGTACGCCTGCACACATGTCTGTCTGCCTGTCTGTCCGTCCGTTTTTATGTATGTCTGTATTCGCATGCACGCGCGCACGCACGCACGCACGCATGCATGCACGTGTGCATGTCTGCATGTCTGCATGCATGTCTGTGTGCATGCATGCATGTATCTATACATGTATGGTTTGATGCTCGTGCGCATGGTTGCATGCATGTATATGCAATCATGTGTGCATGTATGTACGTATGGATAGATGCATGAATGAATGTAGGCATATCTGCGTGTACGTATGTATTTATGTGTGTATGGATGCATGCATGTATACTTGTGTGTATGCATGCATGCATGCATGCATGCATGTATGTTTGTGTGTACGTATGTATGCATACATTCATGCATGTAGGGGTGTGTATGCATGCACGTCTGTATGTGTGTCTGTATGTATGCATGTACGTATGTATGTATGGATGGTTGTATGC